CATCTCATTGACGCCTGCCGGCAGCCATCTTATTGATGTGTGCCGGCAGAGAGAGGAGGGGACGTTCACCCGGCAGGATGAGGTATGTCGCCGGGTCACCTCCTGTCACTGTCGGGCTCTCGGTCCATGACCGAGTGCCCGACTTTTTAGAGGGGATGAATTGGATCGCATAGATCAAGCCAGGCAGTGTTTTGGGGCGGGAGGGGTGTGTCAATGCAAATCATGTCAATGGCACGCAGACACGCCCCCCCGCCCGCACAGTACCGGAATGCCCGCCGTTCCGGTGCAATGCGATCTCAAAAAATGTTGCACGCACCATTTTTTCTGATCGCACTGCACTGGAACGGAGGGCATTCCTGTACCTCGTATTCCAGAGCGGGCAATCCCACTGCGGGCGGGGGGCATCTGCGGTGCCATTGACATAATTGGTACCGCACCAGACCGGAACTCAAGGTACATGAATGCCCTCTGTTCCGGTGCAGTGCAATCTGAAAAAATGCTGCATGCGCTATTTTTTAAGATCGCACTGAACTGGAACGGAGGGCATTCCTATACTTCGCATTGCGGTGCGGGCGAGCAGTATGTCTGCGTTGCCATTGACATGAATGGAACCAACACGCCCCCTCCTGCCCCAGAACACTGCCTGGCTTGATCTATGCGATTCAATACATTCCGAGCTCGAACCGCACTGGATATGGTGTGACTGGGCCTCAGGCATGCCAACTGTCAAGGTTGCAAGTGTGTTTATTTCAGCTCTCAACCGAACTTTCAAGTCCACACATGGCTGGTGTTATAGCTGATCACGTGCAGCACCATGGCAACTGCCATCCAAATAAAGACCAAGATGGCACCTTCCTTGGCTGTAAGGGACAGGAGGATGATAGTAATGTATGAATAGGACAAATGGTAACAATTACAAAATCCGTGGCTTGGGAGATCACACCATTATGAAGCACGTTTACCATGCCTTCCACTTGTCATACAGAACTAGAATGACTACAATTAATAATGGCATATGACTAGATCTGGCTGGGTGTCAGACATACACACATCATTCTTCCACACTACATAGAACCAAGGCATGGAGGTGAGATTATTGCCTCCGTATGCTCCTTCTGCCACCTAAGCCCCTTGTAGCTGTGCTGGCTGTCATGAGGCTAATCAGTGGATTATAGTGGCCATCCGGCATGGCAGATGCCTGCAGCCCATGCTTCCCCATGGTTACCTGTAGCTTGGTTCAGGTTGGACCTCCTGTGTCTTCTGTTCCCAGCACTGTCTCTCAGCTCCTCCTCCTCTTCCTCCAGCCAGGCTTCAGCCATCAGCAGACAGCATAGGGTACAAGCAGTCAGAAAATCACATTCCTTGTCTGCACAGATGACGAGGCCGAGCTCCGATCGCTGTGTACTTAAACACAGGGCTCCTCATAGTCCAAAGCCCGGCTGTGCCATCCGTGCTGCAGCATGCACAAGACACAAAGATCCCCGTGTGTGAATGTGCTGTCAGCCCTTCGATCCGCTGCACCTGATCCCCGATGACACATGCAGCCCAGGATCTGATCTCCTGTCACCCAGCTGGCCCCAAACTTTGTTCTGGGGGATCATTCATCCAAGCAGGGCCTGCCTTTGTGCTAGTCACCCATCAGGGGACAGCGCTCAGCTGACGAGGAGGAAACTTCCACGCCTGGGGCTCCCCTTCTCCTTTCCTCCTTCCCAGCACTTTCTAAATATTCCGGTGTCAACAGGAAATTGTTCTCTGCTCTCCCTGTGATAGTAAAACAAAAGGCGGAGAGGGGGGGAGGGAAGAGGAGGAGGAGGAGGTACCTGCAGCAAGGAGATGGGTGCAGGCATGTGTGAGCCTCTCACAGCTAATCACAGCCTGCCTCTGCCAATGTCTCCTCTCCTCACACATCTGTGTGGAAGAACATCACACATCACTATGCACTCTTCATATCTCCATTACTCCATGTACACCATCCAACACAGCATTAATCACACCAAACTGGCCATATTACAAAGTCCTGCGCCAAATTTATGAAAGACGTGGCACAGTTTTCTTGTCATTTCCCAAACAAAGGAAGCGACCCTTTGACATTCTGCTGCAAGTTCAAAGGGGGGCATTTTTTTACCAATTTAGTAACACAATTATTCACAAATCAGGTGGCTTCTCCATCTAAGTCAATAGGGCGAATTTATCAGTTTGGTTGCTTCAGCAGCATCTTTTAAACTGATTTCTAGTGAACATAGTGACAGATTTATTATACTAGTTTATGTTTCATTGTTAAAGGACAATTAAGCCCTCAGGGTTTTTTGCATGTATGTACTGCTAGCAAGCAGTACATGCATGCAAAAACATTAACAATAAAAAAAGTTACGAAAAAGGTTAAAACTTTCCTGTGTCTCCGTTGCGTGCTCCTGTCCAAAGATCTGAAAAATCTCAGGCGGCCGCAAAGGATCATGGGGTGGACGCATGCGCAGTACAAATCTTCGCCCGGGAGGAGAGACACAAGGTAAGTCAATGGAGGCAGCGTACACCCGCACATACTCCGTGGGACAAGAAGTGCCAGGAAGAGAGAGAAGTCAACGCTAGATCAGAGACTGGCACCAGCGCTGGAGGGACTTCTGAAAACTAAAGGAAAGAAGAAGAGGATCGGATCAAGAGGCATCATTTAAGGGAAGTCCTTACTCCAGCATTCCCGGGGGGGCGGGAATATCCTTTAATGACACTTTAAACTCAGGAGTTGAATCTTAAAAATGCATTCAAGTACCTTAACAATTAGCAAAAATGTATCTTATTTGTGTATCATTCAGCTGTAGATCTTCTTCAAATTATCTCTGAATTCATGCTGCCACTGTCCTTCCTTCTCGTTCACGTTTAGTTTACTCATTTGTTTAAGGATGTAGTCCATCTTGGGAGTAAACTTTTGTTCCCCATGATCCCTGTGTGTTGTAAAGTAGCCACCAGTCCAAGCTCACTCCTGTGATGGACTACAATCTCAATACCAGTTAGTAAACTAAACCTGAGATTGTCGTCCATCACAGGAGTGAGCTTGGAGTGGTGGCTACTTTCCACCACAACACTCAGGGACCATGGGGAGCAAAAGTAGCCACCCTCCAGAAGGAAGGACAGTGTCGGCACCCATTCAGAGATGATTTGAGGTTCTACAGCTGAGTGATACACACATAGGATACATTTTTGTTAATAAAGTAGAATTAAACTCTCAGGGTTTTTCTTTTTGCATTTATCTACTGCTAGTGTGACTATTTTAACTCCTGAGTTTAGTGTCACTTTAACGACGGGGTGACAGCGGCCGAATCGGTCAGCAGCAGTCCACATGTAATCGTATATGGAGCAAATCATCAGGATTGATGATTGTTTCTGGACGCAGACAAGTTGTGTCCCGGGGCAATCACCTATCCAGAACCGCAAGAATTCGTGCCATGTATGATTACATGCGGACTGCTGTTGACAGATGCAGCCACTATCATCCTGTCAGTCACTTGAATAGGCACCAAAGCCACATGTGTACAGACACACTTGGGATTCCCACAGCAAAAATATGTAGGTTCCTGCTGCAGGAATACCCAGCTGCAGTGTGTGAATGTAGCCCTAGGAATGAACAGTCCCTCAAAAAATATATATTTTCCCCCTGACAAAGTACTAAAGAGTACTTACATTGTCCTGGAGTACCAGTACTAAAACAGCATTGCCAAAAATGTCTGTTTGGAACCATAGATGATTATAGTGATGCCATATTCTTTGAGCAGACTTAAGAATTATCTTTTCTGGCATATGGATTTTTGTAGGTACTTTCATGTTTCTAGCTCATAATACACAAACCTCATGTGGTTTTGCAAAGATAAAAATCTATACATTGCATGAAATGAGGGAGTACTTTTTGCCATTGTACTTTTCACATTCAAAGGCTGAGCAATGCTCCTGTAAGAGGTGGATGGGAGAGTACAAAGCATGGAAAACCTGTAGCCATCTGGCTATTCACATGTATTGCTTACTTACACAAAACAGCTATGGTGTACTCAGGTGTTCTCACTCTGTTGCAAAGCAAAGTCTCCGTTAACCCATTTTATTCTGGATTGTTCCTTAAAGAAAAAAACACCTAGAGCCGATTCCCACTTGAGGTGCGTTAATGTGTTCATGTGTTAATGTGAGTGACATTAATACAATATATTCATTATAAATGTACTTCCAATGCCCTACAACAGACAAAAACGCATTTGACTCTTTTTTGGTAATGCAGCGCGACACAATGCAAAGTCCTGGAATTCAGGATGAGTTTTGCAGACACTCTTTAGAATTGTTTTTCACCCCTGCACAAGAACTGTTGGTGTCTGCAACAAATTCATGAAAAATGTCACATCAATGCATCATAGTACATATGCTGAAATAAAGGGCATTTCACTGCACATTAGCGCAATGCTAGAAAGTCTGAATGGGCCTTAAAGGTATTAAAGTCACACTTAACTCAGGAGTTAAATCTTAAAAATGCATTCAAGTACCTACTGGAGGGTGGCTACTTTTGTACCCCATGGTCGCTGTGTGTATTTGAAAGTAGCCACCGCTCCAAGCTCACTCCCATGATGGACTACAAATCTCATATTTAGTTAATTAATTTGTACAGCAGGTTGGATTTGGCAGTCAGTACTACATGAACGAGCAATTGTTGCTGAACGGTATTTCAATAGAAAATCCCCACAAGGATTTAAATAATGCATTCAAAGGGCGACAGTATTGCCCCCTGAACGCCGGGCAGCTGCTGATCCACCGTCTTCTGAAAAGTGATCCATCACGGATTGCAATTCAGAGGGCGGTGGAGGGTGTCACCTGTGTAGACTTCTCCAAATAAACAGTATTCAAATATTTCAGAGCTATATAAACACATAAACTCCTTTTGTGAACACACCTTTTTAAAAAAAGTTGATGTACTTCTTTTGCCTTTTACTAACTATCAATATGAAATAGCTCAGCTCAGTGCTATGATAATCCTGCATATCAAATTATATCCATGTGCTGTTTGCCTTGCATCCAGTAATAATAGCCAAATCCATATTGTACACATGTTTATCATGTTACATTGAAAGCAATGTCTTGGCTGGATTTCAGGTGTTTTATAGCACTGCATGTCTGGTTACTTAAAGCGGACCTTTACACTCAGAAATCAAATTCTACCAATGCATCGCTCTATGTATGATGATTAATAATAACATAGACATGTCAGGTGTAAAATGCTGTGATTTTGAAATACTTACACCTGCAGAGCATTTACTTCCTGCTTTGAAAGTGCAGATTACTTCAGTTTGCCAACGCAATGCACACTGGGATTGCCTTGTCATCAGCAGAGCATTGCTAGGAAATCTCATCTGTAATATCAGGAGATCTCAGGTAAAGGCATTTTCCTCCCCTGAGGTGATGTGCGTCGTCACATGTCCTAGTCACATGTGCCAGAAATCCAGGAAGTAATATGAGAGCTAGTAATCCGCCCTTAGTAAACATGGCCACTCTCAGAAGACTTGGGAAGAAAAGAGAAATAAGGGATGCAAAGAATACAAAGCCAGGAATGATCTAGAAGTATGTGTTTGTAGATTGTCGTTACTAAACATTTCTAAAGGTGTGTTTGTTGTTATTTTAAAGATATTGGTAAAGGTCCGCTTCAACAACATAGACATAGAGGAAAGTGCTCATCACTACTTGTTGACCTACACAGTGTAAGGCCTGGTTCACACCTAGGCGTATTGCATATGCGCGTCTTCGCGGTAACAAAATTGCGTGACAAACGCGAGTTTCCGAGGGCTACTTGGCTGTATCCCAATGGAAACGCGCAACAAAAACGGCCCAAAGTAGTACATGTACCTTTTCAGGCGTGGGCCGTTTTGTAGCACGCTAGGGGCGGGCTGAAATACGCCAAGGTGTGAACCAGACCCATTGAATACAATGGGATTTAGATGTTTGAGCGTTTTGTAGAGCGTTCGTCGAGCGTAGAACGCGCTACAAAACATTCAGGTGTGAACGAGGCCTAAGACGTCCCTTTAGGTTGCATTGGTACTGTAGGCATCAGATATTGCACATAAAGAGAGGTATATGTATTATATAGTATCTACTGTTCTCCAAGCCAAGCCCCTTTGGTGATACTGCCTTTCCTCCAGCTCTCCACCATTCTCTTTTCCTAATGTGGCATAGGGAATATAGGACCTGGAACAGCCAAATGCTTCTCCATGGTAAACTACCCACTCTATCACAAATATTACCATCTCGTCATGACTGATGTGTAACTCAGTTGGAACACTCTCAAATATCTTGTTATTTGAATTCCTTTTCCTTCTATGACAAATTCAGCAGATCTCTCACAGACATTGAGAACCTTTTTGCGTAATCTACTAAGCCCAACCATGTACTCTCAGCTGTCTACCAACCTCTTCTCTTGTATACCCATCTCCACCACCCTAACTTTATTTCTAAATGGGATAAAGAGCTTGATATAGACCATAGTGAGATGGAATGGGATAAGTTACTAATATTTACACACACATATCCTCCATCTCTTCAAGAGCGCAAGAACATAATTATAAGATTCTGACTTGATGGTTTTGATGCCCTACGCACCTCCATAAGTTAGACCCCTTGGTCCCAGGTACTTGTTGGAAACGTTTTAGAAAAAAAGGGAACACTATTTCATATCTGGGGGTCTTGTCCCTTAAAGGAGAACTATGAGGTGAGTGATTTTCACTCACCTCAGTGATTTTCACTCACGTCATAGTTCTCGCCGACCTGTGACAATGA